ACATCTAATAACAGTTTATTTTTAAGTGAATGCAATATTGAGTCGAATTCTTCATCATTAATACTATTAGTGGCTGAAACAGTGACAACAGCTAATTCATCCATATGATCAGGCCCTTTTGGAAGAAGATTCTACAAACAAATAAAATATTATGAAACATTTTTTATATTATAACATTTCACTTGCATGTTTAATCAAATTTTTCGATATATAATACAGCTATGAAAAATTTATGAAACACATATTAATTTGATGTCTCATTTTTGAGTTTACAATCTATCAATACTAAATCTTAAATATTTCTTTATTTATCTATAGCAATAATTTTATGAGAATAATTAACAATTCTACAACTTACATCAATATTACCAATTTTTTCAGTAGATAACGTAGTAGCATCTGTTCTGTTTCTTTTAATTTTCTTCTTAGGAGGTTCCTACATATGGATATTAAGAAAAAATGAATATTATTATTATGAAACGGTATAAATATATGCAACTATAATGTGGTTTATTCTTACATTGTCTTTATCGTTACAAGTGTCCTTTGAAAAAAAAAAATTTATCAATTATTATATTTCTATTATACAATACATGAATAGTATTAATTTAAATACTTATTTTGATTTCTATTGGATCGTGTTTGTGTTCAAAGTTGAATGACTGAACGTAGAGATACTGTGGTTGCCCTTTTGCTTTTTTTTTTGAAGCTATTTTCAAATATACTTCAAAAGGACAGTTGGTTCTTGCAGATCTAAACCAATAATTTCAGTTATTAATGAACATATATTGCATTATAAAAAGATACGAATTTAATGTTAGTGATACTTACTCTCTTTGTCTTTGTCTATCTTCATCTTTTACACTACTTTCTGGCAAACCAGATTTGGGGCATTGGAATTTTATATACTCATATTGTAATCGTTCAATTAATGTCTCGTCAACACCTTTAAGTCTTTTAGAATTACCTTTTTTAATTTCACAGTTCAATACTGTTTGTAAATTTTTTATCATTTCATTTACTTCATCAATGCTATTAAATATTTGGCCAATTTTTAAATGATTCCCAGACATTTTAATAAAATTATAAATATTATAGAACTTATTTATTTTAATTTAATTAATGGTTATGTACTTCTAAAAAACAATAGTGTTGATTGAAAGGTTATTAATAAAAATCGAAGCTGGTATAAGAAGTACTGTTGAGTGTGTATTTTTGTTGGTAGTTCCTATTGTAACCAGAAGTTAATTAAATTCCCTAGATGTATGAACTACATGAACAAAATAAATATCTTATTCCTGTTTGACTTATATTAAGCTGAATTGATAAAGAAGAACAAATACCAAAATTCGATATAATAATCTGCTATCTTGATAGATTTTATTTCATGACAAACATTGCCAGCTGTCTGTTATAATTACACGTCAAAATTGATAATATTTAAAATAACCATGGAAAATAATATTGAAATTCCAAGAATCGGGTTACAATTTGACAGTTATTGCACTGCATATGCTTTTCTTAAAAAGTATATGGATTTAAGCCAAGAATTTCTTACTATTAAAACAAGTAACCTCATCCCGGTTACAGAACCATACAGTTGTACTTTTGTATATACCAGAGTAGTATTTGCTTGTAAACGAGGTGGGAATAATTATCAACCGAAAGGTTTAGGTTTACGTGAAACAAGGTATATAAATTTTGTAAAACTAATTGCGTTTAGACTTTTTTATTGTCGATATCTAATCAGTTTTAAGTTTCTGAATAATAAGTATTTACTTTTATGATTTATTTTTAAAAATATTCAGAATTAATTTTTTTTTTCATTTTCTTCACACTATTAGCACATTTAAAGTTGGTTGTTCTGCTCTAATTGAATTGAAGTTAATCAAAGATTACAACCGAAGATACTTGAGAATCGTTGAATGTGATTTAGTCCATACACAACATGAACCAACAGGAGTATGAGTTTTTGTGGAAAAAATTGATAACTTTTATATTTGATTGCGCTGCTCAGTAATATTAATGATGATTTTTTTTCTAGCCATTGTATAAGTTGTTTCCGGAAAATAGACGATTATCACCAGAACAGCTTGCAGAAGTGCATAAGTACATGATCTTACATTGTGAAAAGAAAAGATTGAGACACCATATTATGACGAATTACGGAAAATTTTGCACCGTGAGGGATTTGACAAATATTAAAGCCAAAAGTAAAAGCAATATAGGTAAAGATGATTTAACGTATATTACAAATTTTTTACAGGAAAATGGTCAATAATATTTTTAGTTCATAATTTTGTTAGAAGACAAATTTTATAAGTGTAACTATTGTAGAGCTAGCATGCATATATAGTTTTTCAGTTTTCTATCTTATCTATCCATTGAAATTTTTTACGTTATCGCAATTTTTAATTGATTTTTAAAAATTTAGGATACTAAAAATATTAGAAATTCTTAACTGTTTATTAGCTTTCTATTTTAAAAAATATATTTTATCTTCTAATGATTTTTATGAGAGTTGAAAACATCTTTATTTTCAAACCTAGCTTCTATAAACTATTGAATGATCTATTTACGTAAAATATAAAGTATTTTTTTGTTAAAGTACTGAATATGTGATGCTTGACGTGAAAACTTGTATCATATTTATTTAAGTCCTAACAGACCTTAATATATTTTCAGGAGCGGATGTATCCATTTGTAAAGAAAAAAATCAGTTTAAGGGTTTGTATTTTTCTACGCCTGATATGAAAAATTCTATGAATGCATGGCCTGAAGTTGTGTTCATTGACGGGACTTACACATTACTGGACAATAATTTAACACTTACGATTGTAGCTGTAGAAGATTCTAATGGCTTAACAAATATAGTAGCGATCGGCTTATTAGCATGTAAAGACATTCCAACTTTTGATTGGTTTATTAAAACATTTATTAAAAATAATCAGGAACCATGCTCTCGAATAAAATCTTTTATGGCAGATAAAAGTATAGTAGAAAGAACCGTATTAAAAAATAATTTTAAAAACGTTCCTGTATATATATGCATATTTCACACACTGCAAGCTGTGAAAAGAGCATTACAAAAAAAGAATATTTCAGTAGCTCAACAAACGAAAATTTTTGAACTATTTAAAAATCTAGCCTACAGTTCGTCTCAAAAAACCTATGACTAGCAATATGAAATTTTTTGCAAAGAAGTGCCGGCAGAAATATTAAAATATTTCAAAGATCATTGGTTTAATTGTCAGGAAGAGTGGACAACATTCAATATGAAGGAAGAGAATTTCAACAATAGTTCTAATAATCGTGTTGAATCCTTAAATCAAAAAGCTAAGCAAATAGTCGAAAAAAGAAGTTCACCGACCGATTTTATAAAATCTCTTTTCATATTTATAACTTCTCTTAATACCGAAATTGATTATAAAGGTGCCGAAAATTTTCTCAAAATTAAAACTAAAAATTTAAATGATACTGACCTAACTAATTATCGTAGTGTATTAACTGAAAAAGGATTTAATGAATTGAAGAAAGACTGGAACAACTACACCAAAGTTCAAATCTACACAAACTGCGAAAATAAATATTTTTATAAAGAAGATGGAGTACAAATTGAAGTTTCTGAAAATTGTTGCCTCTGCAGAGATTGGTCATCTATGCGTCTACCATGCCGACATATATTAGCTACTCGGAAATTTTTAAATTTGCCATTGTTCAGTGAAGAGCTTTGTCATGAGCGCTGGACTAAAAACTATTACCGTAAAAAAGAACGAACTTTTCAGAAAGAAAGTATCTCCGCTTGTTCTAATATACCATTAGTCACTGAAATAAAATCACCAGTTGAGACTGAAAAAGACCGGCTACACTTTGCAGAAAATTGCATGAGTGGATTAGTTTCAATAGTAAGTTATTTTTTTAATTTAGAATTTGTGAAGAAATTAGAGGTATTAAAACAAATTCTTGCTTTATGGAAAAAAAATCAAACTTTTTCACTAGAGGAATTTAAAAATTATGAAAAACACAATGCTTGTTCTGCTAATATAAATAAAAAATTTGAAAGACTTACTATTGAAACGAAAAGTATATTAAGCGTGCCAAAAAAAAGAAAAATTGTGCAACTAGTTACACATGATCTAATCAAAGTATGGTCATCATCCACGGGCGAAGAATTTGAAATTAAATCGAATGTCATAAAGCTTCTAAAAGATTTTTGGAGTAAAAATAAAGAAATAAATATTACAACACCAAATAGCAACGAATTTGATGCTGAAAATTTATTGAAGGATCCGGACACGACTCTAAACAACTCATGTTATATCAATGATAATAACGATCAGATTCAATCTGTTTTATTGCCAGCTACCATAAAAATAAAAGGTCGTCCACGTCTAAGTCTAATAACAATGCCACCAAAGTATAAAAAAAACCAAAAAACAGAACCTAATGCAAATAAAATAAATAAAAAGATAACGAAAGATGCTGATAAAAAACTGTAGGGTCTCGGTTTAATGAGCCAAAATTAGATGAAGAGCACGGTATTACACCATTCCGAATGATGGAAAAAAAATTTCAAGAAGAAAAAATATTAAAATATATATTTACTGACATTACTTTGGTAGAGAGTCGAAGCATTTCAAATAAAATTAAGAAAAAATCTGTAGCTAAATTAACGGTGAATTGCCTGGAAGATCCCATCACACGTTGTGACATAAATATTGTAAAAAAATATTTCACTCCAGCAGCTTTTGATTTTGTATCTGATGTCATTTGCAAGAAAAACTCACAATTAAAGACTTGTAAATTCTGTAATTGCAATATTGTAAGAAAAAGCATTTGTTGTGACCAATGTCTGTATTGGTTTGAATGGCGTTGTGTAGGTATGAAGAAAAAACCTTCGAGTAGCTGGTTCTGCGATAATTGCATAGAAGAAAGTGGAAACATAAAATAATAATAATTATCTATCAAACAAGTGAAATATATTTTTATTAATAAAAAGTGTTTAAACTTCTTATTTTAAACTCATGAACATCATTATTATCATAAAATTACTAGTATTTCTTACTACGGACAAACAAAATATAAATAATTAAAATTTAACGTGTAACTTATCTTTCATTTATGAGAAATGAATACGTGTCAATTAATCATATCCATTTATCTGAAGAAAATAAATAATTAACTTTTTTATTGAAAACAGAAAAAAGAAGTAAACAACTTGAAATTGTTGCTTTATAATAACACAATAGAAGGATAATAATACACTGATAGAAATATTTATTAACTATTAAGAATTTAATTTATTTGAAGACAATTATTTAATTTGTTAAATTTTAATAAATATTTTTTAACTTTCAATAAATATTTATTTGGGAGGGAATTACATTTATTAATAGTTAATAGGTATTTATTAATAGTTAATAAGTATTTATTAATAGTTAAGAAATATTTATTAAAACTTAATAAATATTTTGTTGAGTGAATTTGTTTCGTTTGCGATGTCATATGATGAGAAAATTGCTTACAAACAAAAATCATCTTTATAAATTATTTGGTTTAATTATATGACATAATAATAACGTTTATTGTAAAATAGCAAATTCTATCACAGCTCCTAATTATCTTTTATATTTCATAATATTAACAACGTTAATTTATTTAGTGAATTGAATTATTTTCAGTATTCCAGTTATAGGTTTATAAAAAGTGTTAAAAGAAAATTGCTATTTTTGCATCTTATTTTAAATAAATTTTTATTAACATTCAATAAATTCTATTTAATAAATAATTTATTAACTGGATAAATATTTATTGAATCCTATGATGTTAAAAAATAATTTATTAATAATTAATAAGCCTCATTAAATTTTATATACAAATCGTTCTATCAGTGTAATATCTATAAATCTACACTCTTTAGTTAAGACATGAAAAGATTTAATTGATTATTTAATTTAGATATTATTCAAAAGTTTATCCTTTACATTTTTTAATTTTTACTGCCCAAAGCTTCAGTTAGCATGTCTGTAATATTTTCTTTTATGCGTAAACATATTCAATTTTAATTATTTTCTTCAAAATCAGATCTTCAATAAAATGCTTCGTTCTATCAATATGTTCACTATGTTTAGAATTTTGACATAATCTAGAAACATTTATTTCACCAACGACATTAACATATAACTCAACATAATTACGTTTTTAAAATTTAGACTGCCATCTTTTACGTTAATAAGATCCTCAGCATTTAATGTTGCAGAAACATATTCATCTTTTGCAGTTTGTAATGCGACACAATTTTTTTTTGACTGCCTAGATATTGCATTTTCTCCTGACAATACTATTGATCCACTTGCATTTTTCCAATTAGTATTGTCAGCAACCTAGTCTGACTGAATATATTTTTATTATAAAATTTTCACAGTTTTCTTTTATTAAAATCATTATTCTCTAGTTCCTTTTAAATATCGAATTATTCTCTTAGTTGCTACCTATGTTTGGCGTATTGGCATATCTTATATTTTACTAAATAAGAAACTGAATACCTTGAGTCTGTCTGGTATCGAAGAAACCACTAAGTACGTTATACTTCCAATTAATTCACGGTGAAGTACATCAACTTGTTTCAAATTTCGATCAAATAAAAATTAACTACCATAAAAGTTACTGTTATTTCACCATCATAAATATTGAATTGATCCAAAATTTTTGAATTAATTTCGATTAAGTTATAATTGTACTATTATCATTTTTTATTGAGTAACATATAAATGTTTTGATGAATTGGTATTGATGAATTTTATTTTTACTTTGTCTCTAAATGCTCGATTCATTCGTTCTTAAGTTCCATTTTATTATAAAATATATGCTTGAGTGTTGTAAAGTAATTATTTTCCGTTTAGGGTTGAAGGGGATCAATTAAGCCAAAAAAATTATAATATATAATAGTAACTATTTTTGATGTTATAATAGGTGGATAATAATAATAGCATAATAAATTCAATAAATGAATTAATTAACAATTAATGAAATTAAAAAAAAATATAAAAGTATCCAACCGTGTCAAGTGGTTCACCTGACTTCAGCGCAGGTACAATTGAACCACTCGCTATGATCGGTTGAACCAAATAAAATAAAAATTAAAAAACTACTTGTAATAAATTACTTATGATATTGTATCTATATATTGTATCTAAATGCTAATCTTACTCAATCTGACAAACTGATACTATTGGGGTATTTAATTTGATGAACTTTTTTTATAAAATTAAAAATTTTTTGACGTATTGGTTTTGACCATGGTTAGCCTATGGTTCCATTGTCCCTAAAACTGATAAATGAAAATTCCTGAACAATTTTAAGAGATAATTGATAAATGATGAATTATTGAAAGATAATTTCATTATAAATCAAATAACAGATGCTAAAATAGACAAGAATCGAAATAATGTAACTAAAATTCTTTGATTACATTTAAAAACTAAAATATTAAAAAAAAATTAGAAAAACGGTAGACACTGAAGGCCATCCGTGCAACTACCCGCTAATTCCATACCTAGGTGCATAAAACTGCACTAATGACGTTTTTGAGCTCTTCGAGCTCAAAAATACAATTTATGTGTTATTTTGAGCTCTTCTAGCTCAAAAGTCTGATAGAAGTATCATAGAACAATATTTTTAAAATTTTCAAACCGCCTTAACTTTTAAATGAATCACTCGATTTTCACGCGGTTGGCAGTATTTGATGCAATTTTTTTAGTTTCATGAAAAATCTTCAAGTTTGAATTGATAAAACTAGGAAATTTAGATTAATTCCAAAAAAAACACTTTTTTTGGTTTTCTTTTGTTCATGATATTTCTTGAACGAATTGACCAATTTTGACTGGCTTGACGGCGATCGACGTAATTTTTTCATGCTAATGAAAAGCACGTGCTATCAGTTATGAAGCTGCGATTTGATTTTCATTTATAAATCTTTATAATTTTCGAAGTAATTAATATTTAAAAGTTCAGAAAACTGGTCATTCAAAATATGAAAAGATACGCTTTTGAAAATCAGCTCCTCAATTAGATGCAATATTTTTTAAATAATTATATGTAATTGCTTATAATTATATATAATTACATGTAATTATATATAATTTCATAAAATTATGTTTAATGAAGATTGTAATTTTTGTATAATCATATAGAATTATATATATATATATATATATGTAAGACTATATGATAACATAAAATTATATATAATGATGTATAATTAAATCTGAATCATAAATAATTGTATATAATTTTTTTTACTCCCGTGGGTATTTTGTGATAACTATAAAACATACTCTTTTTTCTTCTAAGAGTCTGTTACTTCAATGGTAAATAATCTTTTAATCGATAGTATTTTGCGGAAGAAATAATAGGAACTGTATTAACTTATAAAAAAATTAAATTTCATAAAAATTAATAGTTTTGTCAAGTTTAAGAATTGTTACCCGGGCCCTTCAGCAATACTTAGTTCCTTAAACTAAACGAATAATTCCATCAAAATTTGAGCTTTTAATTCTGTTTCTACCTCTATTATTTTTTTTCATGAGTCTTCAGGCCTGATCAGGCATAAAAAATGACTATGCCTGATCAAGCATGAATTGACCTGATCAGGCTTGATCAGACATGGTCAGGTCTGAAAGCCCATTGTTACTTTTAATTAATTATTTTGCTTAATTTTATGGATATAGTACTTGATAAAGTCATACGCAATTCTCTATAATGAATTAAAATAAAATAAAAATTAATACACATAATTTACGGCTGTAACGCCAGCGGTCACCCATCCAACTATTCATCATGCTCAATGCTGCTTAACTTTGGTGATATCCGTGCGCCTTGAAGTTCCCACCTGCTGTGCTGCTATCTTATGTGACAACAATTCCATGAAGTACATAACGTTTCAGATCCTATCAAATAAGTTTATCATAAATATAAAACGACAATTGACTTTATAATATTTTTTGATAGTCCTAATTTATTTATTTAACCGAATCTCTTTATAACATCACATTTATTTAAATAATAAAATAAGTAATGATTTTAATATTAGGCAGGAGCAGAGCAGACCAAATCATTCCATAGGAAATGTAACAAATTTTTAATTTCAAAATTATTTAAAAGTAATGATGAAAATAATTTTGCACATTTTGTGATGACCAAAAAATTTTTTTTCGTCGAAGAAAAAATTTTGATTACATTTCTGACTATGCAGAGGCTATGATAGGCCTGATTAGACATGGACAGGCCTGATCAGACCTGAGTGTATTTAACGCTTCAGAGATTAAAGATATGAACAGGCCTGGTCAGACCTGAGATATTTGACGCTTCAGGCATGAACAGGCATGGACAGGCTTGATCAGGCCTGAGCGTATTTACCGCTTCAGAGATGAACAGACATGAACAGGCATGGGCAGGCCTGAGTGTATTTAACACTTCAGACATGAACAGTCATGAACAG